CATGAGTCCATCCTAAGCCCCCACCCTGGGGATTTGCACCAGGGGTGTCTGGGGGTCACCTTCTGCCCCAGCTGGTGCCACCACTCCCCTCTCAGCCACCTCCCCCCAGCAGCCAGACCCCTACCCAACAAAGTTCTCGGTGCCAACGGCCGCTGACCCCAGGGCAGCCAGCAGCACGAGGGTCCTCATGGTCAGCTCAGGGTCTGTCCCACCACCCCACGGTGCCTCAGGGCCTCTTAAATGCCATCGCCCACCGGCCACCCCCTGCCCAGCTGTGCCCTTTCCCATGGGAAAGCTCCAGCTGGACCCAGCCAAGGTTGGGCACCTGGGTCCTGCCACCCCCCTCTCCGTGGCACTCCCCTTCCTGGCCAAACCTGTCCCCTCCCTGAGTCACCCGGGGAGGTGCCAACATCCCACCGCCCACGGTGCCGGCCGCGGGGAGGAGGAGGAGGAGGAGGAGGATGGGCTTGGGTTGAGCAGGGTGAGATGCAGATCTCTGCCCCAGGGTGAGGTGGAGCTCTGAAGCGTGGCCGTGGTGGTGCTGCTGGAGGGGAAACGGGCACAAAGTTTGGCACAGGACAGAGGTCAGAGCAGGTGACCTTCATCCCAGGTGGCACAAAAGAAAGAGCAAAGGTTTGAAGGCACTTTGCACCCAATGGTGGCCCTGAGGGTGCCCGAGGAGAGGCCCTGAGGGTGCCCCACGTTCCTCCTTGCAGCCCCTGGGGAAGGGACGATGGAGCAACGCTGCCCAAAAACCCACAAATTTGGGTTGGCTTGCCTAAAAACCACCCATCCCCTCCTTCATCCAGGTCCTTCAGGGCTGTTGGCCCCAAAGGATGGGGACTGATAGGCCCCGAGCCACGAGGTGGGAAACAAACACCTGCAGGGCTGGGAATTCTCTGCCACCTCTGGGTTTCTTTTGAAAGTCTAGCATGAAAAAAAAAAACCCAAAGTCACCAGCTATAAACCAGAAAGTCTCCAGGAGTGTTTATTGAGAGGCTGGAGGAGGTGCCGGGTTCAGTAGGGGTGCTCCAGGACGTGGAGCATGATGTCCAGCAGTGCTGGCCAGGTCTCGGTGGCGGTGGGGATGATCTGGGCGCTGGGCAGGAGGAACCCGTAACGCCCCGTGTCCCTCAGCTCGAAGGTGAAGGAGTATTTCACCCCGTTCTCATAAGCCCAGTCGATGGTGGTGCCAGCTGCCACGTCTGCAGGGGGAGGAGGGGATGGGTGAGGCCAGGACTGGGGGTGGATGCACCCCTGGGGGGGTGAGGAGGGGGCAACACTTACAGATGGTGTCCGCCACGCTGCCGTAGGAGTATTTCGTCCCATACAAGGTGGCCAAGTCCCTCACTGCCTTTTTAGCCAGCTCGTTCTGCAATGGTGAGCCCCAGAGGGGTGAGAGCTGGTGGACCAAGACCCTGGGGCAGCAGAAACCCTGGGGCAGTGGGGTCTAGAGCCCAGCATCGTTTCCCACCCCCTCTGCTCTCGCTCTTCCCCAAAACACTCTTCATTTTTGGTGGCTGGGAGAGGTATCTTGCAACTGCCCTCCCTGCAAGAACCAAGCGATGGGCTTCAACGTGGAGGTTGCATCCGAGAGGAGCAGGGAGGGTTCTGGGATGATCTGACCTGACTTTTCCAGCAAGGCTGGTGCTCACAGCCCCACGGCTACGTTTCGGGGCCATCTCACCAATTCCTGGTGGTCGGGCGCGGGCGCCGTCTTGTAGCCGTAGGGGAAAAGCAGCATCTGGGAGTAGCTGTGGATGGAGATGACGGATTTGACATTCCCATGGCCAAGGATGAAGTCCACGATGGCTTTCACCTCCCTCTCAGAGTGGGGGTAAGGGCCGCGGTACGTCTCCGAACAGGGGTTGCCGCTGGAGCCGGAGCCTGGGACGCGGCGGAGGAGGCGTCATGGAGAGGTTGCCCAAGGGAGGAGATTCCACCTGCCAGGTTTCTCCCCTCTAGGAGGACTCCTGGAGGTAGGAGTGGTGCCCAATGAGGGGGGGGTGGTGGCCCAGCTCTCACCTCCAAAACCAGCGTCCCAGTTGCGGTTGGGGTCCACGCCCACGCAGCAGGAGCCGGCGTTGAGGGACCTCGTCTTGCGCCACAGGCGGTTCTGGGA